ATATAATAGACGTGTTTCCGAACTACGCAGACAGTTAAATAGTTCCCCATCAACTGCCTCCTTGATACTGGTGTGCACATGTTTTTGAAGGGGGACCAAGTCAGTCATACATATCTCTCAGGTTCTACCATTGCTTTACAGAGGACAGATAGACTAGTACATTTCTATCAATGCATGTACAAATATGCAAATCAATTGAAAGCTCTATATACTATATTTTCAGCTGAGCCCATTTATAACTTGGGAATCTGTGTCTCAAGACAAGCCAAGTGATCTAAAAAGAAAGAAATGACATAACACATCATAACTCAGTTCAGTGAAATTATTTTTAGTCCTTCAGGAGGAAACATTGTCTGCAGGCCAATGCCAAGAAACAAACAACCCCCAACTACAGCAGGCCCGTCAACTAACCCACGAGGATCGCCTTACGGCTGAAGATGATCAAAACTGCTAAAGAAAAGGTCACAGAGGGGCCCTCATTTCTCCTGGGAACAAACATTTTGATTATGGACCAGAAAAAGAGAAATCCTAGAGGAACAGCACTATGAGCAACTTAAATCACAGAGGAAAAGATAGTGGGCTATTGGCTAAGCACATTACATCAAAGACCCAAGTAGATATTCACAAAGGTGGAAGTTTTCCAGATTCCAAAACATTTCTTATAATGGACAGTCTTCGTTCCTCGTCGTTCAATTTTGACAAGAGAAATATTGTGCCACTTCTGAGTGAAAAGCAGACTGTGATTGACCTGAAAGCACTTCTAAGTGCTGGATTACGTCCTGATGCATGGCGGTCCTGGTCACAGTGGTACATTATTCACAGATTGATTCAATTTTAGCCTTGAAGGTGTGACCCCTGGGTGACAAATGACAAACCACTGGATGTCGTAAAAACACCTGATAGTGGCGATAAAATATTAGAGACCCCTTCAGCTCTTATGTAGAGACGGAAGAAACATGTGCCAAGGACACCACTTTTCAATATCCAGAAGGTTCTTTAATGAACACCATCAAAGGCTGGTGGGGTAATAGGAAGTGTAAGATGTTACGGCGACGTTAAATTAAAGAAGGATATTTGCGATTTGAATTTTCAAATCTATCTCATGACAATCATGGAGACCATAAGGCGTAAGCATGTCAGATTTTCATGATACAGAATGATTGTTGTTGCTATAGAGCTTTAGTTAAAAATGTTTCATCACCATCCACTCTATAGAGACTACTATAAGGACAAAGAGCTTACCGGTTATGGTACACCACAGCGGTATAAGCTTCTTTAGCGAAATCTGCACAGCTGGACTTCCCAAATATCACCTAAGGAATAAAAGAAATACAATCATGAGGCCATATTATGATGAGTCATGACCATTTGTCAACATGTGTTTGCTAAGAGCATATCTGCTAGCATGCACACAGCTGTAGGACAAACCTGTGCTATGAAATGGCAAACGCCCTTAGTTGTCGACACAGTGACACATACTACTAAGATGACCGACTGGACTAATATAAATTCAGGGGTTTTCTTTTAACTTCTCATCATAGCGTACCGGCATTGCATTGCTTGGATCCTCTCCATTCATGAATTGCACTTTGACTGTGATGTTGCGGGCAGAGCCTTGGCGGTTGGCAAAGTTAAGACTCTGAGGGTTTACATACAGCAGATTCCTAAAAGACAGACATGTACACAGACACAGAGAAAACAAGGCACATCATAAATTATGTCATTGAATTAAGTGCACCAAGGAAATATGTCAATCTATAAAACATTTGGTTAATATACATAAAAAAGGTGTCCAATGTAAAATGACTGCAGAAAGTAGCAATAGCTTGACGCCACTAGAGGTTGAGCGATGGTCATCAAGAGATTAACCATCATATATATCATTTAAATTACATTGTACACTTGGTTTATTTTGCCTCACAACTAAACATATGTTGTAAGAAATTATTTCAAATATATTTTATTAATAAAATATAAGTGGTTAGGGGATTTTACAATCCTGATCATTATCGTTGTCACCAAAAGTGATGATATTGTACTGTCAAAAACACTGATGGGAAGGGAAAGGAGACTGCATAATAGGAAGTGCAAAGTCAGCCGGGATCAGCTGACAAACCGCAATGACGTAGTGGAGTCTGTGGGGGGGCGGCCCCACAGAGACCACAGCTGGAACCACAAGGAAGCGTGGGAATCTCTTTGATCTGATTATTAGAATCATTCCCTTCCTCTGTCGCTCTCTATCCTGCATGTCCGAACAACAACAATGGCAGCCTTAAAGTGGGTTGTTGAATTTGAACCGAAACAGACCCCAAGATGACTTCACTGTGAAAAAAATCTGAAATCCCCATAAAAGCAAAATGAGGAAGTGTCACTGATTGGTCAGTTCGTCTCATCAGATTCATCTTTGGTTAATCAGTAGACATGAATATTGTGAAAGCAAACTTGGTCTCCCAATAGACTCCCAACTGAACGATGACGGCTACCCACCTTCCCCATTCAGAGACCAGAGGCTACATAGGGGGACAGAGTCATGGTTTGCTGGCTCAACACAAAGGTCAGGATACGTTTCACACCAGTAGGCCAGGTAACAAAGGCACTCTCTAGTAATTCAGAGAGTGCAGAGAAGAAAGGGTAAATAAATAGCCAGTCTGCCTTGTTAATAGGACAAGATGTTGAAGGAGCCCCTAAATTATATTCAAAACTAGTTATACCCCCAAAGAATGTATTGAAAACACTGACTACAAAGCAGATAAAAATAGAAAGTATTTCAAAATTTAATTTAACATTGGAGGATTAGTATAATTTAACCCTTCTTGGTAAACCCAAGTGTCTGTTTCTTAAAAGCACAAGAATCGGTGAAGACATTTTCAAGAGGTTAGAGATCTGTTTAAGCTCAACTAAATACTAAAGATAATCTAATAATAGGATTACATGCCAAATCAGACCAGCGGCCTAAAGCAGGGGGGACCAATGGCCCCTCCCGCACTTCTTACACCCATCATGTTGATCTCAACTACACACCTGTAAAGCTTAGTGACTTCATCTTGCACGGTTGCGACACTATCAAAAGAGACAAGATCTGTCCACGGACAGACGAACAGACATTTTAACACAAAGTACCCCAAAGCGCCTCTGTGGTAGTTCCCGCTACAGTAGGTGTCTCCAGGACCACATTTTGCCAGCCACACACCATCACGGCTGGTAATAAACAGACAGCTGATGACAGACTGACTCAGCCAATTAGGTGCGACAATAGTGAGTGAATGTGACATTTATTTTCACCTTGTGGTAAACAAAGGATGGGGTGGTGGAAGGTATCCACAACCGTGGAACAAAGAACCTAGTCACAGCATGTTCGGAGCAGTCCTCTCACACAGAGGTCAGCACAAGAGGGGATCAATGCAATATATTAAAAAAGGTACAAATAAAATATCTCAGAGATAACGGATAGTAAGAATGAAAATAATCAGTATAGCTACATTATGGACTATAGACATTTTTAATCAAATAAGAATGCACAAAGTTAGTGGTCACAAAATATGATAACATGCACAAAACAGAGGACAGATCCTGTCACTTAAGACTGCTGAGGTGGTTTAATGCAGATTTATCAGGTGGAAAATTCCAAAGCAAATTTTAAACTTGTACAGAACTTGCCAGCTCCTCAGAGAAAGGCCCCAGCAGGCCATGTGAGGTTCAAACCCTGAACCTCCTTGACGCTAAGCCACAACGCTAACCACTGTGCTGGCATGACAGCTGGTACTGAATATCAGTACCAGCTTTATGCTGATCAAGCAAATTCCTGGCACATTCACTCATTCAATTTTCTATAGGACCCTTTCTTTATGCTCCGTCCATATGAAAAAAGTAGCAGTCCCTCATTACAGAGAACTGAGCTAATCCATCCATAAAACCGCAAATGACTAGAGAAAGCTTATTAAGATGACTGTGTGGTATTTTAACGTGCACTGTAACAGCCGGAGTGCCAACATGTTTTTTTCATACCACATAACAGAACACGCTAACTTTAGAGGTTGGGAACCATGCAGCATTGAGTGCCAAAAGTATAAATATTTATTTTCCAATTAAATACTACACCAAGTCATTTCACTGATTACTTCCTCCTCCCTCTCTAACTGAAGGTGGATATACTGTATTTCACCAACATGTCAGGTCTGCGTGAAACAACTTATGAAGAATTTCCTGTAAAAACAGTTTTCAACGACAGAACGGAAAGAACCTTTCCAAGCTGCAAGCTAATCAGTAAACTATACAGTATATTCCACGTCTCATTGCTGGTGGTATTAAAACATATATCACATAAGGCATAGCAAACTTTAAAAAAAAAAAAAAAAGACAAGGGTTGAGCGATAAAACCAAGATGATGAGTACACACTGTCTGAACTCTCCAACATAATTCATGCACAGTAGCTCAACCCTGGCACAGATGACAGGCTCACTCCCCTCCTCACACAAAGAGAGAGGGAGGGGGGGGGGAAGAGAGAGAGAGGGAGGGAGAGACAGACACACAGAGAGAGAGAGAGAGAGAGAGAGAGAGAGAGAGACAGACACAGAGAGAGACTGGTGCTGGGCTGATTCAGCACGAGGCTAAATCAAAGCCAGGAGCATTAATTACACACAGCATTATCAATCAGAGCAAAGTGTGTGCAGGGTTATAAGGTTTGAGATTGATCGGTCTGACAATCCATCAAAAACCTGTGGTGGCCATTGTTGGCTTTCTGCTGATCAGCTAAAGCTCTGCACCACAGATGGAGAACAGGGTAGGGTGTGGTATAGAGAGGAGATTGGGGTTAAATGGGCAGTGGAGAAGAGGGGAGGGGGGCGGGTGTATGTCATTTGCTCACTGCTGTGATTTGTTTGTTCAGGAGAGGGAGGGCTCGAGAGGGATTTGGAAGGAGGTGGGGGTACAGAGTTAAAACATAGTAGGGTTTAATGATCAGCTAATCCCCCCCCTCCTCTACCGAGAGGGCAGTATATAACACAGGGCAGCCTGCTGCTCTCCCTTCATTTTAACAGCAAAGAAGTCTGGGCTACAGGCAGAGGGAGAGAGTGGAGTGAGCAGAGGAAAGCAGGAGCAGTGCTAGAAATTATTTCATAATCACAGGATTGGACAAGAAAGTCATGATGAAGCTGTTTTGCCTGTTGCTGCTGCTAGCTAGTCCAACAGCCGCCATCCCTCTAGAGTCGTCGGGTAGAGAGAGGTTCCCCACCCTGCCCTCCCAGGCCCTTGCCACAGCACCAAGCCCAACCGAGGAAAAGTCTCGCTTCGCCATGCTGGATGACGTTCGTCTACTCGCAAACGGCCTACTTCAGCTCGGCCAGAGCCTACGAGAGTTCGTCCACAAGACCAAGGGCCAAATCAACGACATCTTCCAAAAGTTGAACATTTTCGACCGCTCTTTCTACCAGCTCTCGGTGGTCACGTCCGAGATCAAGGAGGAGGAGGAAGAGCTGAAGAAGACCACAAATTTCTTGAAGGCCAACAACGAGGAGATCAAGAACTTGTCGATGGAAATCAACTCTAAGATCAACGGCATCCTTCAGGATCGCACGCAGCTGCAGAGCCAGGTGGGGAACCTGGAGGAGCAGCTGAAGGGACTGTCGCAGAGCATTTTCCCCGTTGATCAGCTTAGTGAAATGACAACGCTCAAGGTAAAAGTGCACCAAAACTTTCTCTCGACTCCAGCAAAGAATATAAATGCATTTCATGTACTCTACTAATGACTCAAAGCAATTTGCCCTATGTGATAACTTTTAATTTGATATGACAATGATTTATTGCTGTATTACAGTAAGGATTATTGATAAACCGTTGTATTATTGTTTTAGACTTTGTCAAAATACGGTATGTGAGAAATATGGGCTGTTGGATTGTGCAAATGATAACCGGTATAAGAAAAACAAAGTGATTTGCATGTTCTGTTGTTTTGCGGGGCCAATAGTTGTGGTTTTTCCATGTTATTACTGAATTAACAATTATACTCATTTAACAAAGTACATGTTGGAGAAAAAACTGATATTCAACCTGTAGTCAACAATTTCTTTGACTCATGTGACTCAACAGGTGCAAACGTTGTAAAATACAACAAATGTTGTATGGATCGATAATGCTTATATTATGGTATTTTCAGGAAGTGATCGACTCTCAAGAGAAAACAATTACCAGTCTGCTGAAAGCTGTGAAAGAGCAGCACGATCAGCTTGACAACCAGAAAATCAAGATTCTAAACCTGGAGGAAAAGGTAGACGACTATTCAACAGGAGTTCACGACATTCTGTCTTTAAAGGCCAAACATCTGCCATCAGTGAGAACTTGCTTCCTGTGAGAATGAAAGGGAAACTGCTTCTTACGGAGCCGCCAAGATAATTTAACGTCACAGATGTATTTGCATTCTCTTGCAGCTAAGCGATGACAGCTTTCAAGAGACAGTCGATAAGCCAATGGATTTAGACCCTGCAGCGCCTGATATGTTTGAATATCTGACAGGAAACTCAACTGACCTGGACGTGAATGGTAACATTTTATTGGAATGTATTATCAGTTAATCAAAATGTTGGCATAAATATTAAATGCTCAAAAGGAGAAGGTTGGGGGGGAAATTGAATGTATGATTTTGTTAATTGTGTTTCAGACCTCCCAGTGGACTGCAGTGAGTTGTTTAACAAAGGAGAGACCAAAAGTGGACTCTATGTTATCAAGCCAAACCAATCCGAGCCATTCAATGTTTACTGCGAAATGGGTTTAGGTGAGTGAGACCACAGCAATCGGAGTACAAGCAACAACATACCGTTTCTGTATTCACAAGCACTTACAATTACAAGATCAAGTATTGCCATTCATGCAGGTTTCCAATCAACAAGCGATGAACAATAAACAAAAGCTTATCAAGCCAGATAGCCACAGCAGCAGGTTATCAAAAAGGGCAGACAATGGGGTGGATATCCCCTTCACGGCATCTATAGCCATTTTAGATAACAGGCCAGCATTCTGGTTGCAAAAAAAATGCATGACGTGTAACACAACACTGTTAGCTTCTAGAGTGTGTTTGGTGCCTGGAGTCCCACTATGCTAACTGTGACGTGGATTCGGACTCTGTGCCGCCGCCTTAATGGCGTTAAAAAAAACTCTGTCACCCCATTCTGTTTGTACCTTGTTTCTTGATCCTTGTGTAAACTGTTGTGTGGCTAGTACAACAGTAACTTGACTTGCAATGTATTGCTAATCCATTCTATAGATGGGGGTTCAACTGTGATCCAACGCAGGGCAGATGATTCAGTGGATTTTGACAAGACATGGGAAGAGTATGAGAAAGGCTTTGGAGATCTGGAAAGTGAGTACTTATTTAACTTTGCATTGAATTCAGCATATGCCATTTGCAAAAACTATACACATTTGGATTTAGATATTTTCCTTTGAAGGGTTACACTCCATTTTTCTCAGACTTTTTGGTCAGGGGGGACGATTGCAAGTACTTCCTGTAAGCCTGGTCATAGGAAATAGTAATTGTTACATATCAGTCCTGAACTGAAGACGTGACTTCCTGTATTGTCTGATTACAAAGCAAGTTTTGGCAGCTGTCCCTGCGGCACTTACTGGCTCAGACAGCCAGTCATATTGTAGGTGCAGTCATGTACCATTCCAAAGTAAAGGCCCCTACAGCCGTGAATTTTAGTTCTGCTACCTACCTAATGATTATACCTCACAGTTTGGAGCAGCAATCCACCACAATGCCAAAGGAAACAAGTGTATAGACGTGCATGTCTACACTGATTACAGATGGGTGTCTCTAAGTGTATTGGCGACAAGTAGAAAGTGACAAATTTCTGAACAAAAACAGCAGTGTGAGAAAATACCAATGTCAATACTAAAAAAAGTGCTCCTAGGAATTTCCTATTTCAGATGAATTGTACATTTCTGTGGATGGTACACAAGAGACACAATACGCCAAAAGGTGATCAGTTATTTCTTATCCCATGAACAATCTTTCCACAGAAATCAATCTATAACCTCCGGAGACTCACTGCTAACAGACAAAAATGTTTTTTCACATAAAATAACTACATCCTAACAAGTTCAAAACTGACTATTATGCTATGCAGAGGACTTCTGGTTGGGCTTGAAGAAGATCCACAGCTTCACTCAGCAGGGAGTTTACATCCTGCGTATTGACTTGGACGACTGGAAGGATGGGAAGCACTGGGCTGAGTATCGCTTTTCATTGGAGGGTTCCTCCAAGGGCTATACCCTTCACGTGAGCCACTTCTCTGGTGACCTGCCTGATGCCATGGCCAACAGAACCAGCATGAGATTCTCCACCAAAGACAGAAACAAGGACAACCACCGGAACTCCAACTGCGCTCGCAGTTACACAGGTAAAGAGTTTTTACAGGCCGATTCAGAGATGGTACATTTTCTTAAGACCAAGTTGTGTTAATATAATTTATGTCTCTTGTCCTGGCCCTTTGGCAGGTGGTTGGTGGTTCAACGCTTGCAGAGAGAACAACCTTAATGGAAGGTATTCATGGTTGAGGGCAAAAGGACGCTCTATGAGACGGAAGGCCATTTACTGGAAGCCTGGCACAGGGTCCTCATATTCCCTCAAGATGACCAAAATCACCATACGACCAGCCCCCGCTGCTGAAAGCTTCAATTGAACCCCACAAGTCATACCTTTTTCTTACAACACCACTGACATTTTCCACAAACATTGATCAAATCCAACACTCAGCCAAAAAGTTCTATTGAAGTGGAACGTGACATAACACCGACACATTCTCAGTTTATCTGCATCATTAAGTTGATTGCTTGCGTACAGTGTTTTTGTCGAAGGCGGGTGCTGACCAACCAATAACAGGCCACAAAATTTCAGAAATTGCTGACCTGTCACAATGATGCAACCGTGCCATACAGGTCATTAACCTATTGGGTATAATCAAGCAAGGACGGTAGAATTGTCATGTTGCAACATCTGCAATCATTTGCAAAAATGGATATACCCGTTTCAGTGCTGGCTGTGAAATGCAACAGTACTGCAGTAGGAAAGAAAACTAAGGAGAGATTACGAAGCAGTTCTAAAAGCTGAGATTGCTGGGCTGGAACAGAGAACTTAAATGTATTTGACAGCTTCTATGTTGACAAAGCTATTTGAAATGAATATTATCTTTGTGATGTGAAACTGTTTCATGTTTCCAACAGGTTATTACGTAAGGCATGCACATTATATAAGTCAATGTTCAAGAGAAACACTGCATCTCCAACATCTCAAAAGGTGTCCATTCTAGTGATTTGGTTTTTCCAATGAACGTCATTTTTCTGCAGATATTTTACACTGATTCATCCCTAGTTTCATGGAACACAATCCACAGAGTGGGGACAATATCAGCAGTCAAATACTGTACAAAATGAGAGAAAGAGAGCTTTGGCAGCACAATGATGAGGGTTTTTGCTTTGTTTGTTCTATTTTTTTTACTCTGTAAAGTATTTAAACAATTTCATGCTATATCATCACTTCTGCTGGTATTGTTAGAAAAACATAATTTCTGTGTATTTCCAAATGTATTGAGTCATATTGACTCTTGTCCATTATTACAATATAGCTGTAGCCTACTGTAAATGTGCCTCATACTAACACGCCATCCTAATAAGTAGCTATAAGCTCTAACAAAACATATTTATGAAGTCAAAATAAAAATCTTGTCTAAATGACAAACACGTTGTCAACAGTGTGTTGATCTATAACTTTGTATTGAACTCAATCAAATTGAATATAACTTTAGTATTATATGTACGATGAAATACTGCCATCACAGTCAGTAAGACAGTATACTCATTCAAAATTTAAAACAATCGCTAAAACAATATATTACTTAAAAATGTGGATGCCTCCATTTGCATGCTTCCACATTGCTATAATCTCCATAAACGTTTTGTGTTTTCCAGGTCAGGACCTGTATCGTCCTGCTTACGGCTCATAACCTTCATCAAGTTTAGTAACTGTTCAGGTTCTCAATGACGTCAGAGAGTATAGTCGACATATATATATACTCAAAGGAAAAGTACATCAAAGAACTAGGTTTACGAAGAAAAAAATATTGTGAACCCAGACAACTACCTTCGACATTTAAATAAGTAAAAGAATATTACAAATGCAATAATTAGGATTTCCTTTCACCTAGTTCTGCTGGCTCTCAACTAGGTCTGGCATTAGTTTATCTCCAATAGGAAGGCACCTGGTTATTTGCAGACAAACAAGGCCTGTGGTAGCACGGTCATGTCAGCAGCAACGTCTGGCAGTGGCAACATCTCTCAAAGTGACCTTTCCAGACACAGCACTTGTTCACATGGAACATGGACGCAGTACACTGGCAGTAAACAAAGAGGTGAACATTAACGAGACACAGTGTCAGACATCACTGTGCAAAGCTGGATTTGATTTCTGCAGCTTTAAGCTGTGTTCAGGCTTTGATTGAGGTTCACTACAGGGAGTTTGCATCCGGCTCATGGAGCATGTGGCGTTTTGCCTATTTTCACCTGTATTCTCTAACAGGCAATCAATGTAACTCTCAATAGAACAACAGCTGCTAGTAGTTATATCAATCTATAGTCCTTGGAAAAGTAAATCATTTCCAAGAAGGCAGTTAACTGTGAAAATTACAATTGAAATTTGACATTTGTACAGCCAACTGAGCTATGCCTGAATGACGGGTATGAGAGGGCTGTGTTTAAATACATTCCATATCCATTCATTCAAAAGTCGCTTTACAATGAAAACAGTTAAAAACAGCTTGTATTTTGCGCAACCCATTGACAAAAAAAAGTTTCATCTTGACAAAATTGACCAAATTGAAAGATATAAAAACAAAGACTCAGTTTCCCATACTCAAAATGTTTTTTCTGTACCTGTATTTGGTGTTTGGCACATAGACGTCCCTGGCAGGGAACTCCAGGATCTCCCTGGTGGGGCGTACCCTGCTGTCTGGGTAAGGTTTGACCTGCAGAAGGTCAGGGGTCAAGCAATAGTGAGGGTTCTCCGGAGCTGGAGAAATGTCCAACTTCAACTGGGCTGTGGTGACAGAATGACAGAATGGAAAGGGAGCGAGTGTACAGGGAGGTAAAGAAAGACAAAAGGTGATTTATTTATTTGAAACACAAGTGGTTCACGTCTTCAAATTTCCAAGTAATTCAAGGGAATCGTGACACCAAATAGAGATGAGCATCAGGTTAACAACTACTGACGGGATAAATGATGACTCAATCAAAATGATTGTACCTGTGATGGGTCTGAGTCTCCTCAGCACCGAAGAAGGCCTTCTCATGTCAGCTAAGAACTTATACAAGTCCTCATCACTCAGTCTGTCCCCCTCCTAAAACTCACATGTGCAACGTCTAAATATTTCATACAAAATTACAAAGAGAAAGCTGAATGGTGTATGATAAGTAAGAGGACAAATCAGCCCAATCAGTGCTTTAAAAACATGTATCAGACTTGTATATATGTGGTTGTGGAGACCTGTTTGAAAAAGTTGGTGATGGTAAGTGTCGCAGGTCTAAATCCTGTCAGACTGCATGACTCGTCTCCACTGGTGGTCCTTTCCAGGGAACGCCTTCCCATGATGCTCGAGTTCCTCCGTTCTGACCATGAGCCTTTTCTCTCTGCACACAAGGGAAAAAAAACAACAACAGCATTTTAAAAACTTAAATTCTGTATATTGACAGAATATTCTTTTATGGGATGCTACAACAGGCTCAAGTTTAATCCCATATTTCTGACCCATGTGACAGAGAACATACATTTCTCTGATCTGCCTAGCAACAAAACGGCAGCCACCACAATCAGCATCAAAGATACCCTGTGAGGTTAAAGGTTAGACAAACACCAAAGGTCACACTCAAAATAACACAGCGAGGATCAATAAGGCATGATGTTTTGCTCTCTGTTTGAATTTCTCTTGTACTATTCGTTGTTGGCCCATGAGCCTTAGGCGTGTATGTATTTGTTACATTTTGTTTTACAAAGTCAGGAAATGTATCTGGCATCAGATCGGTACTCTGTATGAGCAGGAACCCAAAGCCCAGCTATCGCTTTCTGTATCTGGACTGAAAATCCCTCACTGAGATACCATATGTTTACAGTTACAATCCAAAGGGTTGTGTTAAAAAAGGGAATGTGAGACCTGTGAGGCTCATCTCCAGCTCCGTATCTCTCTCAAGACTGCCGGCACTGTTCACGATGTTCATCAGGTGGATGGCGGTCCAGGCGAAGGGCATGCGGTAGCGGCCAAGACGTTGGCAGAACTGCTCTGACTGGCCACGAAGCTTCTCTAACTTCTCTTTATTCTACAAAAAAAAAAAAAAAAGTTCACTTAAGTTTGTTAAATCTGCCATTTACAAAAAAAAAAAAAAAAAACATAGCTTGTATTACATACTCCTAATAATAAGCTTATATTACGGTTTACGTATTCACTCATTCATTAAAACTTGATTATAAATTGTAGAACATTTAGGTGATAATATGGTTTGCATTGCCTGGAACAGCGATGTCATTTTAAAACTGAACCTTTGGCTAACATAATGGATAAAAAAAAGAACATAGTTATTATCTGTAATAGTATCATTATAATTCACTTAAGACATGCCTCAAAAGGTTTTATGTGGCATTTAACATCTCATTTACACGGACCATACCTTGGCAGCATCTGACTCTTTGAAGACCATGTAAGGCTCAGCACACTCTCCAATATCACCTTGCTGCAGTACCTTTTCGAGCTGCAGACAAAGCACATACATTTAGTTACCTCCCTCACACACAGCAGCGAAAGGATCACAACGGGACAAAGACTGACCTTCAAATTACAGTATTGGCCTGACACAACACTTTCTTCTGGAAATTACGTAAAAAAAACAGAGTGGATGTCATATTGTATTGGAGGACCATTCAGGGGATCATATATTCGTTTTAAACAGAAACCAGTGTAACACTGGCTCCTACAGAGACTACTGTATTATGAGTTGTTTGCAGCCTTAATGCTATTCGGCTAACCAGCTCCTTTAAGTCCATAGATAACAGTATCAATAATTGATGGTGTCTTTCAGGATGAAACCTACAGGGGTTTCTAATGGCTCGTGTAGCGCGTTGTGCTGCCATGAAGGAAATAATGATGAGTGAAAAGGTGTCGAAAGCAGCGACCGACATCTTTACTGATGAAACAGACCTTGGACTGAATCATCCGTTATGCCTAATTTCCACTATATAGTTTGGCTCGACTCGACACTTTTGGTGCAAGGTCCTTTTCTACATTTTGTTTTCCAAAGTGGTATCTTCAAAAATTCTTACATCTTACACACAAACGTATCTATTTTTTTTTTGCTAAATCAAGACAAAATAAATCAGAACTGTGTGACCTTGATGACAAGGAAGACGTCCTGGGAAGGGTAGGAGATGGAGAATATGGCAGAGCGTGCCAGCGTGGAGATGGCTGCTGTCTGAATGTGCGGACGAAGCATCCCCTTCGTCTGCTCAGAGTTTAAGTCGAAGAAAAAGGTCTCCGATATCTGAGGGACACATCCAAACAGACACACAGGTGATTAGAACACAATCATAATGCACATTTTAAATGTAATCCATTGTCCATACCATAACCATATTCAATCATCATTTTTGAGTGAATGGCTGTGTCACAGCAACCGGATTTCTTCCTTGTAGTGGCTGACAATCAGGATAACATATCAGTAACAAATTACCCACTTGGTAAAGTAATGGAGCTCCAGTGCAGAGCAATATATATGAGAGATTTACTTGTCAAGGCAACTGCTACCCTCTAGTGTTTGTCAGCTAAAGGGAAGTGGAGAGAACCAGCAGTGGATGATCTTCTTCAGATAGATACATGGTTACAGTTTATGATTTAACTGCATTCCTGCAAGCATAACAGGGCCACAACATAAAGTTTTATAGTCAACTCATCAAATTCATTTTGGCCTCCCAACAATTTTAATGGTTTGCAGAAGTGACAACTACAACTCAGGGCTGAGGAGGCACTGAGGAAAGCATAACAGCGTACCTTTTTCTTTTCCTTGACATCGTATAAGGCCAAACTAGCAAATATCGGTTCAATTTCGATCTCAAACCTTCAAGGGGAGAGGAAAAAGGAATGGGGTCAGCAGAAAGCAGCAGTAAAATAAAAGAGTTAAAGGCTTTTTTTCCCCCTGAAAAAAAGGCTGTCCACCACTTACTTCAAGGACAAGCACTTGACGAGTAGCCTCTGGCCAAAGTGTTCTTTGGGTACTTCGGGCACACAATGGCGCTCAATGGGCTCCTCCTATACAGTCAGAGAAGATCACAAACACAAAAAAAATCAATAACTCTTTTTCAACACGACTGTGAATATCCACGCTGTGATGAAAAATAGATTACCGACATCCTGGGACTGGTTTAAAACACAGAAGATTGAATTCATTGCCTTACCCGGAGTGAGTAACCTTCAAAACTTCTACAGAAAAGTACAAAACGTGTATACAGATGTAATGGTGACTAGCAGAAAAAGGGGTTCCAACGAAAGTAAATGGGTAAAAGTCTACCTCATCGAGGGCCGGGTGCAGAGCGAAGACTTCGCGGTGGCGGTTGGCCTTGCGATGCTCTTCGTTGTGCCTGTCGATCTCCTCGTTGGGGGCCCGGTCGAGGAGGTGAGGGAGGAGGGCATCGGGGAGGGAGTTCTTCAAGTCAAAGATGCTGCAGGCCCAGCTGCCACGCGGGGTGTCGTCTATAGACATCGACCGCCGCTTCAGGTCATCCTACAGGACAAACAACACAAAAAAAATCGAACTATTTATGTGGTCATCCAAATATCTTTCTATCATCAATCGGAAATAGAAATCACAAATTTCCTTTTTTCTTTTTTTTTTTAACCACTGAATGATTAAGTACCTGGTCATCCTGGTAGCTGCTGCTGTCTGGCATCTCATCCGCCTCAAACACTTGTTTGGGCAGGCCCTTCTGACGCTCCTTCTGCTTATCCAGGGTGTTGGGGTTAAAGCCTGTACCAAGCTTGTGGTACCTAACGGAGAAAAACAGTCCTGTGCTTAACATTAATGCTCAATGTAGTCATCACTTTTTACAGCTATAATGTCAATATTAAAGAGTTAACGAGTGAAATCGGGTGATAAAATAATTCCACACAGTGAAGCCTTACCTTCTGTTGACGACGGTCCAATCTTCTGTGTAGGATCTGACACAGTCTCTGACATGAGTATCAGTGTCCCTGAAGCCAGACACACTCAAAAAAATCAAACACGTTTGATTTTAACAGCACGAGTCACACTTTAAACGCATTAGTCTCGGATGCACAAAGATGACAGGCTATCAGGCTGATGTTATTTAAAGTGATGTGCACTTGCAATGTTTGTGTCAGACCAAGAGCCAAAGCTGCAGTAAGTAATGATATTAAGCCCACGAACCTTTTATCTTTAAACATGTGGTGCAGTGTAGTGACTGAACAATACTTTGCAAACTTTTGAAAAAAATGTCCGCCTTTTGCTGAAGTCACTATAACCTCCAAAAGTCCAAAAGGAATAACAGCAAAATAAGAAAAAGAAAATGATAACAGACATACACAAACACACCATTCTTTTACTTCTTTAGAAGGGAGGCGATTGGTCTGATTAGGTTACTTTACTAATGAAACTCCTTGTGTGCAGCATCGAACACAAAGCAGGGAAATGGAATGAGAGTCAGCAAAGCCTCATGGC